GATGTGCATTATACGAACTTCATACAAATATTACATTTTTAGGTGTATAGGGTGAGACATTGAAATTTGGACAAACTTTGGTTGGCTATCTGTCATGCGTTCATTCACTTATAACCATGAGAAAATCAGTTGCTTTCTAGAGGAAAACAGTGAGCTCATCATGGTGAAAAGCGGTGCATCGTTTTCGTAATTTAATGAGCGAAGATCAGCTGCTATCCAGCTTGCCTATGCGGGTTGTACCCTACCACGATTATAAGCTTTCTTTTTTCCCAAAATCTACAGTCTGCATAATTGCCAGTTCTTCTGCAGTTTCTAAAAAAACATAGTAAAATTCGAAGATGAAGGGTTCAACATTTAATACAAGTGGTCCAAAATGCTTGTTTTTGCAAAGTGTTTTTCTATATATAGAAATTTAAAAGCAGAATTAATTGGCACTTGGGTCGTCCAGATAAGCTGCAATGATTAGCCTTCTTGAGTCTCTTTGCATCTTTTATACTTGGAGGCCCGGCATTTTCTTTCAAGGACTCTTAGTCTGCTATAGGCTCCAGATTTAATTCTGCTAGAATGGTCTGTATGTAGCTTATTTGACCAACACCTTAACGAGCTTACACCTACCAATATCATTTGACGCACGCTTCCTATTAAGAATTAAGTGTGGATTAAAGAGGAAATATTTTGAAAACTACGAGTGGGTGGTTTAGATCATGAGCTGAAGATGTAATTGGATGCTAATTATATTCAATTAACAGGGACAGCACACTTCTAGCACATGTAAAGAAATTCTCCAGTGTATCTGGTTTTGTTTCTATACAGTCTTGGAAACAACTTGAAAGAAAAGGTTCGGGTTCAGATGTTCCATCCGTTTCGAAATTTGATTTCACCTTATGTCGACCTTCATTAGATCACCAATATGTGTTTTACTAAGCCACAAACGGCTATCTCTTGATAGGCATATATCCCTTCCTTGCAATAGAGTGGACAACTAAAATGGCGACAGGAAATTTCACACATGGCTAAAGCGGAAGCGCCCTCCACGAATGTTCGCTTGTGGGTGTCGTTTGTTTAAACATTGGTTTATAAGTAAATGATCGACCTGAGGCAGCGCTTTGTCGACCGACACAGTTTCACCTTCGTGTTAAAGTCCGTTCATGTCCTTTTTGTGGGTTTGGGAAAAACTTATGATAACATTTATAATTAATCGCAAACGTTGTTTCGTGAACTTCGATTCGCTTCGAGCTTCGACACTGCGCATCCTGTTTCTGAATCTTTTCCGGATTTTAGCTAGCCCTTTTTTTTGCTAGACTGGCAATCACTGTTTTCACTTCTGCTTCAACGAGCGATCAGGACTGAAGAAGCACTCTACTGCTGTCCGCAATAATATGCAATTTCAACCTTATGACATCAACGTTATATCTATACAATTAAGTTCTGTGATGACACAGGCGTAGTACTACCCAGGCCATAGATCAGCCGCCATACACAGCCAGACACTTCCGATTTCCATCACAAATATGGAATCTGTAACGGTAAAATACAAGTTGATAAGTACCTCGATATTTTACCTTTTTCTCTATCTTTCCTTCGAAAGGATGGCGATTATCGTATCACAAACGTCGGCTAGCTAATTCTCACCTATGGACTGTTTATTTTTAGTCAAACTAATAACTCACTGATCCTGTATAATAAACAGCTCAAAATTGAGTAACTTTATACCGTACTGGAATGTATTTGTTACCGTTATTTATAACAGAAATTACTGTACAAATACGCTATAATGTACAGGTAATTTTTGCAGCACGATTTGCTATCTCATTACATCATGTCTGTGAGTGATCGATTTCACCCTAATTACTCTCTACGCGAGTAGACGTCTAATTACGAGTTCCGCAACAAAAATTGCTCGGAGTATGGAGCAAGGTCTCAAGTCGCGCCAAGGACTTCAGACAAAAAAGATCCGCGGTTATAATCTGGTTGGGAAAAATATGCAAATTGCTTTGATGTACTTACAGATTTATGAATGAAGTAAATTTGTATTTTATTATAAAAGAATTTCTATCTTAATGTAAATTGAAAATACCAATTTAAAGATACCCCTAGGATGAGTTGAGTAAAGCCCATTAGAAAAGCAAAACGATATCATACAGAAAAAGTAACAAGGGGTTTACTAATAGCCAGCATAGGCCAAGACCATGTTACTGACGGCTTCAATGTGACAAAATGGTAGCCCTAATGTATGGGGTACTACCGAAGACACCCACGTCCAAACAATTTTAGACTGATGTGCGCAATGTAAATTGGTTTACACAAAATTAATCCATGTCTCTCTCTTATTTTTTATACAAAAATAGAGCATCCATTATATACGTAGTTAAGAGCCCAACAAGGCAATTCATTAAGAAAATATTTGAAATTGTTCTTTATAGTGTGATAGACTTGAGCTTGAAGTAAGTGTAATTCAGGGTAGTGTTTGAATTGTAGCTCAGATGTGCTTCTAATATTGCAAATAAACATACTCTGATCATTAGTCTAACAATAGAATTAAAAACTTCCCTTCCCAAACCAATACATTTTTAACACATAAAATTACTTTCCAAATCCATAGTTAATTTAATTCACAATGTTAGATATATTTAGTATTTTCCTACACATAATTATCCATATACCACTACTATACAATACAATACTAACCGCAAAGCAGAAACAAGTAAGAAACGGAAAATGCTATACGTATATATAGATAAGTGTGACAATGCAGAACCTGTTATGGAACAACGTGATAGAGACGCAGAGCAGGGGTCATTATGCCGTTCAACAACGGCGTGAAACCACTGCCGGTCTTTTACTCCTATATCGGTGAACGACCTGAAAGACTACAGTGTGCTTTACACAGATACTAGCTCATTTCTTACAGAAATAAGCTGATCTGCATCTTCTTCTACATACATGATAGACTAATATCGTTGCCGTGCATATATATATATATATATATATATATATATATATATATATATATATATATTTGAAGCTCAAGATTATAGTGTTTTTGCAGAAATGACATAATTGAAGATTTTAGTGAACACATTGTTTGTAATATAATAAAATATGACTTCCTCATAATTAAAGATCGTATAGAATGCAGTACACGAACGATATAAATAAATACTGCAGCTAGCACTCGTTTTTCTCTGCTTTATGAGGAGACAGAATGTGCTAAGTACACGACGAAATTTCCTATAGAAAACATACGATTTATCTGCTGTTAGTTCTCAAATGAGATCCACTTAATAAAAATAGGCCCCGTTAGAAGTCAATAGTACTATATGCGATTGGTTGAAAGCTTCTTACATTTCTTTCAATGAAATAAGTTTGGTTCCGTAGTTTGAAAAAGCCCCGCCGTGCTCCACTTTAGCTCTAAGCAGTTCTTTTGCTAATAAACTGTACACTAAAGCAATATTAGTTGTATTTTGGCATTCGGGCACACATTTTCAAAGTCCATCCCGTTTCTAAAAAGTTTTGAAATATTTACACTTAATATGTTAGTTTCACCGCCATTGAATTGAATGGCCGCTGACAGACAGCGATCAGCTCAGGCCAGTATACCAACGTCGTGTGGTTCATACCTAATACGCTAATAATACTAATAATCTATGCTAATAAGGATCTGGAAGGCAAATATGAGCTTCCAGTATGCGTTGTCTTGGTCGATATAAAGGCATGCGTTAGCATGTTTGTATGTTTACCAAGGGAATGCGCAGAAACTGAACAGAAGGAAGTATTGCGAATGGCGGCAACAAATTCTCTGCTCCTGCTGCTCATAATTATGTTATATGGTATACAAGTGTTGTTGTTGTTGTTGCTGTGAGTCGTCCCTAGGAAACATCGTAGCCTTCTATTTGGATGTTTGGGACCTAGCTGTGCATATAAAACACCGCTTCCAATTCGCATTGATCAAGCTTGATGTCTATAAAATAACGGTATATGCCTGTTAACATGGTGTAGATAGTAAACTTTACAGTGACTTGATTTTTTTTTCTCATGGCACGTACGCACTCAAATTCCTATCAACGCCCAGTAAACTGTGATCGATTCAGGTAGAGCGACACAAAAATATCACGCAAATGAAAGTAATAGTAGTTTTGGACAGTTCACTCTTCTATTTCATCCGTTGAAATTCACGCGTGTCTTCGCTCATATGATTTTGGATTAACGAATCAAATGACTCATGCGTACACTTTTTCAAAGCTAAGGCCTCGAAGCAGCAAAGCAAAACAGAAAAAGAAAATCTGGGAGTGAAGGAGAACTTCGTGTGTGAATATAACTCATAAAGCAATGTGCCATCAAATTTTGAGCTGTTCCAAATATTTCCTTTTTGCTGCTTAACGTCCAACTAGTTTTTTATCTTAAGACAACGACATTGCATTAGCGTTGTAGTGAATGTGAGCTTCTTTATTCAGTCAAAAGCAACTGTACACATCAACAATATTCCAACATAAATAATACCACGTATTGCATAATAATGCATAAACAAGAAATCACACGGATGATTGGACTAATAGAATTATACAAAACATACTTCAATCTAAACGTCCTTAAAATATCTTTATTCTACGCAAAACCTTGAACGTACAAACAGAGCGCCTCAAGCCGAATAAAAACTCATTATTAGTGTATATCGCAATTTTGAGATCATAAAACAGAAGATTGATATTTTGCGTCTTCGTAAAAGCAATAAAAGAAAGCTACGAAAACAGAAGACTATTTAGACTTAATTAAAAAATGTTTGTTCAATGTATAGACAATAATTCGATAGATCCTTTTTTTTCTAGATAATCCTTGACCTTGACCTAATTTAAGCAATTTAGAGGTAAGGATAAAAAATAACATTGAGCTGTATTTTAGTTAAGCACCCATGTAAGGGTGGTAGTTATCATACAAATAGCTTAATATTCGAAATACCGGAGCCTTTCTAAGGATAGCACTACAAAAAGAACACGCACTGCTAATAATTGACCCGGAAATGCTTAACTAAATTTTCCATGAAATTTATTCAGTATTTACAATGTTTATGAACTGTTTGTTCGCCTTCAGTATTTTAGTTCGGTTGCTTATATGGGTATAAAACGTCTACGTGCTTCGATTCTTTTACTGAACTGTTTCGCAACATTTTTCATATTTCCCATCTAAAAATCTACAAGTCGTCCTTTGGTATAAGATACGTCAGTATAGGCACCAATTATATCCTGTGAATAGTTGCAGAATAACGGAATGCTACATCTTCGTCAGCGGGCGAGCCCCAATGAGCTTGAGACCATGTGCCAGACTTTCCTTAAGTCGATCAAACAGCATCAGTCTTGTTTCAGCCAACTTAAAATTTTTTTCGTTCGCTACTCGGGCTGTCCTGTAATAAAAGACTATAAATGATCAGTTTCAAGCTTATGTTGCACATGATCACATAGATTATTGAGTTAATGAAGACGTTATCACCTAATTAAAAAAAAATCTGAGGCTAATAACTTAACGTTTAATTGTATTTTATATGCTACCAAATAGTCGTAGAATTGTTTAATTATTTGTTTAAGCAGTAAAGTTATTTAAGCATGTAATATGTTTGCTTCTCCGAATCAAGTATATAAATAATGCAAATAATTTTATATAAAAAAACATTCATTGATTCGAGCTCGACCTACAAAACCGCAGAAAAAGGAACATGCTGGAGTGACTAAACATGCTTAGTTGTAAAAAATACCGTTAACATTTACTAAATGGTATTCGGTAAACGTTTTCTTACAGTTCAACTTGTTTTAAACCAAAATGACTCCATTAAAAGCGAAAATATATTCATCAAATCGAAAGAAACTTTGCTTTGTTAGAACAACTGTATGTGTTTAAATTCTCTCATTTATGTTACAAATAAATTCGTGACTATATAAATGTTTCTTCTCACAATACAAAAAAATATACGTTTTATAGTATTATATGTTACAATGTTTAATTGTTAAACTAGTTTTCAGTACGACCATTATAAATTGGCACTCAGTTAATCAGGTTGATTAAGGTTTGGTTTAAAAAACATATATATATGTATAAATTACAAAAATCATTTTAGAATATTGCTGCCAATTCACTTGTGACTGACTTCACTAGTGTATTTCTGTCGTCCACAAATTCCATACTTTACTGCCTTGTTGATCGCGTGCCCGAGCTTGAACAAATACTGCACAAGTTCACTCGACTCTAAAGTAGCGTCGGATCGCAACAGACATTCCTCCATCTGGCTAAGCAAAATCAATGCCTCACAGACGTGGCTGTCCTGTAGAAATTCATCGAGGACCTCCTCGTGGTAATTGGGTTCAATCTAAACCGGCACGGAATCGCATCAAATAAAAATATTTACCAAAATATATCTATTTTTTCAATGCAAATGAAAACTCTATCTGATTTCAAGCTATACTTGAAATAGAAAATCTACTACTAGGGTTTAATGCCATAATTATAAATATAATTACAATCGCAGCATTTTGTTTTCGAATAAATGAAGGTACAAATCGATCTATGTTTTTATATAATTGTTTAAAACGCTGTCCATGATCGGTTTTCGATTACCTCATTCGCTTCACGAATTGAGCACAAACGGGCATGACAATATTGCAACGAAATGCCAGAGTCGCCTTTAAGAGAGAAGCACTTCTCCCAGTCGAAGGTCTCGTTTTTCTGCCGTCGCGTTTTCAACATATTCACGTAGAGAGCAGTCAACGCAAGATCAAGAGATATTTTGTCATATTCCTCAGGACTGACCCGTGTAGTATTCGCTTCCTGCATTCCTGCACATGCAACACGATAAAAATTGAATACACGGGTCCATTGGAAGCCATTTGCACTATACAATAGGCAGTCAGCACTTATATTGTGATAATTATGGTTACTTGTTGGAGAAACAAAAAAATCAATGTCAACAACAAATTTTCCCATACATTATTGTAAGCTAATGTCACATTTTATAACATTTATTTTGAGATCGAGGACAAAAAAGATATTGCTTTATTTTTGAGTGATTTGCCCAATGCACTATTCTCAAAAATAGTTGAATACTAAACGTCCCCGGTATGCTTATTTACAATTGCCGGTGTCTTGTTGTGTTACTGTTGTCGGGGCTATGATTATAAAGGAGGAATGTTAACGGATTGGATGATACAACTAGACAAGATAAGTCACGATGTTTTCAGTTGCGTAAGGTCCGTTGTAAAACGTTTGTCGATATTTACGTCTCCACGATGACAAAGTTCCAATTTCCATCATAAATCTCAGCGCTTTGAGATGAATCAAGGCCGACAAAATTTAGGCTGGGTAGACTAAATTAGCCTAAAAGCTAAGGACTTAGCTCTCTAAATAACGTTTTCCAATAAATATTGAAAACAAAAAAAAACGTGTTTTCACACACAACATTATCAGTTACACATAGTTCTAATAAGTATCAAGTCACCCAAATATAGAACTGAAATTATAGAAAACGTAATAACATTACTATGTTACAAACTTGCTTAAAATATTGAAGAATATAACGTAAATCTGTATGTCTGCTGATAATCTGTTTCAAAATACAGAGGCGTATAAATATATGAGTTTCTACCTTTAAGAGCTCTAAGCTGTGCTTCTTCTATAAGGTCATCCAGAAGCACGACCTGGCCATCACGGGTGCTTAGTCCCTTGATGCGACCGAATTTGACATGTACAATACGAATAGATCCTTTCATTATCTTATCAAGACATTTTTGCAGATCTGAGAAGTGCTTAGCTTGTGCGTTGTCGACCACATAATACAGAGTGTTTACGTTCAGTTGCTTGTGGCGCGAAATTGCTGCGCAAATATCTCGTGTCATATAAAGCGAGGAACCATTAGACTTCATGAGGGGCACGAATGTGTCTTCGGACAGGTACAGCCCTTGAAGGTCTCTATTTTCCTCGAGAAACCTCTGTTTTCTTAACGTGCTGATCAATTCCTGAGAATCGATGTGGAATGATGATTCGCCTTGTATCAAGTCAAATTTTACCCCAAGTTTGGAGTATATTTTAAAATACTCTTTAAGACTGATGTGGCGAAAATCAAACCACATTTTCCTCAGCTCCTTATCGCCCATTTCAAGTTTAGCAAAATCATCGAGTGCTTTCTGGCGGAATTCCTTATCTTTCTCTGCAAGTTGATTACTTTTAACATACACTTCAAAAAGGTGTTTAAGTGGCTCTTCTTTTAAGCGTTTCGCATCACCAAATTGCTGGAAACCAGCACTTAGCAGCCCAAACTGTGTTCCCCAATCACCGAGATAATTGATTCCAACTACTTCGTCGCCAATATCTCGCTTCAAATTGCAGATAAAATTCCCTATTATCGTCGAGCTGAGATGGCCCACGTGAAATGGCTTAGCAATATTTGGCGAACTGAAGTCTATCGCTATCTTCTGATTGGGAATGATCTCGGCGTACACCCTTCGCTGGTTTTTCTGGTTAAATAGGTCATTAGCAATATCTTTTAAACACACTTCAGCAGGTTCAGCCTTTATACACAAACGTTCCGCCCGTATGCCTAGACGTTCTGCGGTTTCCTGAAACAAGTAAAGTACAAGAGAACTGATTATTTACTTCGATAACCAAACTGTCATACTAATGTCAAAAAACGACTTATAAATCCAATAATACATATATAAAATAATACGTTATAACAACATTACCCTTAAAGTAAATAAACGAGCTTTCCAAATTCAATTTTCAATTTTTTAGTACACCTTATGTAGAACGATGAAGGAACCTACCAATACTTTGGAGTAATGTCAACGTTTCGCTCAGTCTTTCTGTAAAATTTAATGCTATAGTAACCATTTTCCTTACTGGTCGGAAGTAGACATTATTAGCTGTCGTTGTTATGCATCCTAAAATAGACCTGGATGAAAAATTTTGCTGGCGTGCCTGTTCCTGTAGCTTTTCAGCAAGGCGCAATTTTTGGCCGAAGTATCGCAGTGAACGTTGCCTGACCTAGAATCGACCAATCAGATTTATTGTTATGATTAGCGTTAACATTAGTTACCACGAATAAGCGTAAACTATATATAATATCAGTTAGCTAATTCGAAATCACTAAAGCAAGCGTGGTTTTAGGTTGGCTCGAACGTATGGTATGGTACAATTAACACAGATAATCTCTAGGATATCCACACCAAAATCTACACACATGAATACTCGTCATGAAGAAAAACAATTAAAAATAAACAATGCCGTAGTTAATGACATTCATATTCATGGTCAAAAACCAAATTATTACATTACGAAGCAGTAGGAGACTAATGGCACCAACCCAACCATGAATATTTAACTACGCTAGTTCGAATCCATTTGATTTTATCATATAACTTGGACGGTTAAGATATTTAAGATATTTTAAAGGACACTACAGAGCAACTTTTACGTATTCTAATAATTGTAACGTGTAGTGCTAAAAGTGATACGTACAATCCAAGAAACACCCTAATTAAAATTAATAAAAGATACAGGAATAGTTAAATGTGAATAGAGTATGGACACTTCTCATTGGGTTGTTACATTGTTTACTGTTACTACATATGACGATAATACGAACAAAGGAACCCTTTCCTTTTCTGATGGTGATGGTGGCCACACTGCGTTCTAACTAGGTGTTATTTGCAAGACGAAAAGCTCTGCGGTTGTTATTCATAATTACAACCAACTCTACAATCATGTAGACATACGAGTATATTGCTACAATATTCAATTGCATGCACCAAGTCCAATATACTTACGCCCATGCTGTAGAGTGTAAAACAGCTGTTTCAATCGTTTTACTCGCACGCACCGTACACTTACTGAAATACAGTTAGTACAATTATATATATTTATGAAACACACAATTTCGAACAATTCGATAAATTCTCTATACCTAGTTGGAAGCTTTACATTTCTTCATCATCGTGAATAGATGATAGACTGAACAATTCATAAATACAGATAGAAAAGTATCCGCTCGCTCCTATATAGCAAGCATGTTCTCTCGGTCTGCGTGAACAAACAGTTCGCGCGTCGGCGGCGGCGTATCACAGAGCGTTGGCAACACGTGGTCGTGGTACAATCTGTGGCACGCCGCCGCCGCCGCCGCCGCCGCCACTACTAAGGCGCGCGACTTCGGCGCCTGCAAAGAATTCAGAGAGAGAGTTACTGCCACAATTTTGGGAGAGGGGAACCTTCCGACAGCTGCTAATTGTAGCGGTTGTAGCTTCTGCTGTCGTTGTTGTTGTTGTTTCTGCTGCTGCTGCTATTGTCGTCGGTGCAGGTGTTTCGTACGAGATCAAACAACGCGAGCGTATCTCTGTGCTTGTTCAAGCAGTGCAGACTGTGTAAAGCGACGGTGCGTGAATGCCTTTATAAAGACTGAGGTAGATATTCCGCGCTCTGTTTACTCTCTGCTTTGCAGACACTTCTTTTTCCCTAGCTGTTCTCCATGCGTTGTCTAGAAGCAAGTGTCTACATGACTGTGTTCTCACTGTCTCTGCCCTCGGCTGCTACTGCCGGTCTACCACTCGTAGTCGCGGAAGCTCTCTTACTACTGTCAAACAACTCCAGGGCGGGTGCAGGACCAGAGCGCGTAGCCGCGGCATCGGCGTTGCTACTTATCCGTCTCCTTCTTGAAACTCACCCGAGTCGACTGGCTTGACTAGAAACAATCGACGAGTAAACTGCGAGATCATAGAGGCAGACTCTCCGCTCATATTCTTTGAAGTGTCGTAGAGTTTTCCCCGGGCGAGTGAAAAGGCAACCGTGGTGCTGTCGTAAGACTAGTAGCACGGGTAGGATGAGAGGAAAAGAGTTTCCGGAGAAACAAATTTCGCGCATCAGAAATCGCACCGTACGAAGCGCAGCTGGCAAAAGCTATGCAGCAGCCGTAATTTGTATCCGTTCCTTGCAGTTTACACGAAAGGTTCAGCGGGGTGTTGCCGTTGTGCGCGTATGGTTATTGTGCTCCGCAACGTAAGGCCGAAGGTTTTTACTTAGGCTACGGAACTAGGCTACCGCGCGAACATTGACTGTTAACGAAGGCATTAGCAGCTGTACTAGGTACACAGCAGCGTGGATGTAAAACTCGACAAGAAGATGTCGTCTAATATATAGACACCTGTATATGCGGTTAATACTTAACCAACTGTCTATCTGCCTATCGTGCTGTGTCGAACTGGTTTTCCTTCTTTCTTATGGAGAAATATATTCAATTGGACTGGCCTGAACTGAAGTTTTTGCCGCGTCGTTCTGGTTGAAAAGCCAAATTTAGACGAAATAAAGATTCTTACCTAAACAAAGAGGTACAACATCGGTTCTGCACAGGACTTATAGCTGTTGCTTTCCACAGCTAGGCAACTATGGTAAGAAGAACCTTTATTTGGCATTATATTTATTATACACAACTGGATATTTAGTCACTTTGTTCTATTTGCGTAGTCTTATCACGGGTTAAATATGGCTATCGTATAGAGCATAATCGAGGAAAGATGCAATTTAATATAGCTGTTATGTATGCTTGAGGTAGAAAAGAAGACGCGTCGATGCTGATCTATCTAGACAGGTAGCACCAAAAAACAGCAGCCAAAATTGGTCTGAGAACACTTTTTTATATTCTGCCGATTTGTACATTCAATTATAAAAGAAAAATTAATACATAGAACATTCGGCGTCAAAGAGTTTGCTACAAACCTAGTTATCATACTTTGTAGCAAAGTATTCACAGCCTGTCAAGCACAAACAAAGATCACAGATTTTGCTTTAAATGTAAGTGAATGAGATAGTAACTCGTCAATCTGTGAACGGGTGGCAAAAAAAAGCGTGTTCATAGATTCGATAACGTTCTTACATATTTTGCCTTCATTACTGGTCGCATCTGAGTATTATCTTCAGGGGGTCCTGTTTATCTGTAATGTTTTCCTATATATGTACATATATAGGAATATATGGTATGACAGTAACCATTTTTATGAAGTGTGCCTAAATTGCTATATAAGGGTACCATAGTATCACACCACATGATACCTGCGGAATCCATATAAATTGATCGTCACTAGTCAACAAGACAATTCCCCTATTTATTATTATTCAACTACGAAATAGATAGTTTCAACAATCGTTGGCCAAATTCTCATAAAGTGTTAAATCAGCTTAGCAATTTCTGCTGAAGGAAGTGGAATGAAATTATAGGGGACACTGCGCGATGCATAGTGCTTAGTATAAATATCTTGAGTTGTATGAGTTGAGTCAACGACAGTGAAACGAACTCCTCGCGATCTTCTTAAACGCGATTTCACATAGACCTATGCACTAAAGCAACGTTTCGAACCTGTCGTTGTTATTAAACAGTGAACTTTAAATTGACAGCCTTGATGCCAGAAAAAGTATGTTTTTTCGAGTTAAAGGGATAATGGGTAGTTTCGATTTTAACAACTCCTTTATTTAATCAAGCCTTATTGTTGTACTAATCAAGCCAAAATATTGTTATCGAACGCGTCACACAATAAGAGCGCGATGAATAATTATCCGATTGTTATATGCTTCGTTATGTTTGGCAAGCATTTTTTCGAAGAGCTGATAGGCGAAACAGCGTTGCCGGCTGGAGCGTCTTTGTATTTCGTCATTTTTGATAGTGATTTTTGACCGCCTACAATCAAACATGTACCTTTTTTTCATTAATAATATTTAGCTGAAAAGAGCACAATTGAAACGGCATTTTTCGATTAAAAGTTCAAGCATATTTTTTGCATTATACGCTGCCAATAGTTAATGTTTCGATCAACCAAACCTAATACGCTAGTTTGATTCCCGCTTTCCCAAGGAACTTAAGTATCTTTAACTAACTTATTTTTTATATGGAATTTTTAAGTGCGGGGCGCACTTAGAAGAATGGAACTATTGTGTAAAATATTTTCACTTTTATGTATGTTCGCTTCAGTTTGATGTGCACAAACTCGTTACCGACAGGGCTCAATAGGAACTTAAATTACTACGTTCTCACAGATCAGAGTAAGATCTGTCCTCTTCCTTTCTCTCAGATAGATTAATATAAATATTTTATGAGATCAGAAGCCAATTTTCGCGAAATAAGCCAGATTTATCAGTTGAAGGTAAACTAATAATAATTAATTTTATATGACATCAACTAAACATACTTTCTCTATTTATACCTGAACTGTACTCGTAAACGTTTCCACCCGAAATATTCATAGATATACACGATCAACAATTTGGCTAACATAAATGTCATTGCTCGTTAATCGAATATATAAAATCGATCGATGTATATTAGATTCATGCGGCAATAGTGGACGTTTGTTTAATTGACCTTACATCAAACTATTGTATAAAAACAAAACCGTTACTTTGTTTTCAGCTTTTGCGTTTGGCATATTTTGTAAAAAAATACACTTCAGATTTTTTAAGCAGTTGCTATCATCAACCTATCTGATAAAAGGATAGCTGTAGTTTTTTCTCACACAGTCGTATGCACAGATTTTGCCAGTGAGAAGTCGAGCCAGCGCAAGCGCTGTCGCCGCCGCGGTGACCACAGTGACAGTATTTTCTACTTGAAGGAGGCAAACACGTCCTCCTCGGCCCTACGATGTCGTACATGTTCCTTCTTCTTTTCTTATATGATAAATGACGAGCTTTAAAAAATCTTATATTACACGATGAATTATAGTGATAAGGTATCATTGTCATCATTATTGCTATATGTAACTTTTAGGTCATTTGCCAGTTGTAACCACCTGGCGCAATCAGTAAATCTAACGTGCTACACTTCTGCTGGCACAGGAGACGCAGATCTGCGAACCATCAACTCGCAGTTAGTTTCTATGTTTTCATTAATTGACGCTTTTAAGTTCTACCGATTTACGGGATCAGGATGATAAATACAGAAACGTTACTGATTGTACATCTATATTGGCGCCAACCTGCTACACAGATCTATCATGAGCAATGCATCAATTAGTGCTCATTATTGAATTCAAAAGTTACTCTATTTTTTCATTTGTATCTTATTTTACTTTACCTAGAGTTCTGAATTTTTACGATAAGCCAGTTAAATCGGTCATTTGTCTAATGATGATTCTTTGTCCCAGGTGTTACAGTTGTTTCGTGTACCACCTAAATTTCTTCTACTCTGTTTATATATGATAAGGCTTGCCTATTTGGCCCTATTTATTTTCATATAATTCCAATTTATTATAATTTGTATACATTGTTTGCAACTTGACAGGTGCAGCAGGTGAATCGCCAGAAGTTCCAAAGGTTTGTACGCGGTTTCAAACTACAAAATGGGTGCTTTGTAAGATCCGTTTTGCAAATATTCTATGATATCCAATATACTATAGGAAGACAATTATATATATGCAAATATTTTTTAATATAGACGATTTCATTAAGGCTGCCCCGACATTGAACTGCCAAACTTGACCCGTTATGAAACGAACAACCGGGTTTAACCTAAAGGAATAGAATCTTTTTAATGAAGTATTTATTTTTAGGAACTGTTTCGGCTTTCACGCATAGGGATGTTGTTGTTGACGATAATGTCGTTTGTTATATCGTGCTGGGCCTAATGGCACTGTGCGACGGCCCGTACACGAACGAGGTAGGAAACAGCTCAATGACGTGCTTGACGCGAAGCACACTACGACATTGGCCGATCATGGCCGAACGAAGGCGGGTTAGACTGTCCAGCATTCTGTGTGTCGTTGTGTGTATAGGAAATATCAAAAATGTCGTAGACGGACCTACTGACAGGTCTCAACTAAGACTAAAAAAAACTTGGTCTGACTAAGTGGTCTTCAGTGGGTGATCCTGCGCATATAGTGTAAGGCTGGGTGTAGTCGCATTGCAGTCTTGATTGAATAACTCTTTACAACTATGGTTTTTAATGTCTGAACCTATAGTCGAAACTTCATTCCGCTATGCTTTACGTAGATATCGGGAAGTAAACTTTAGGATAAATCTTAATCTTAACAAATTTCAATGAACATCTCACTGTACCTGCGACTGACACTGCACTTATTATTAGTATTAATTTATTCACTATTCTCTTTTGATAGGAAGCTGCTGATCACAAACGCGGTTGTCTCTCTAAATTTTATTGTACTCTTATTGGTTCAATAACCTCGGATTTTTATTGTACAATTTTGTTTTTCCGGGTTACTTTTGTTGTGAAAAGGCTTTCGGTATCACCTCTTTTTCAGGCAAAGCATTGCCCCATTAGGAGTCTGGAATGAGTCTTGCTACACTTATTTAGGGTTTCTCCCACAGGCCTACAAAAAGAAATGGTATAGTCAAAACTACCTATCAGTCATTCTATTGTCTCATCCATTTTATGAATAAGCTAATAAACTTGTTGTACCCCGTAGAAATCGAAAAATATATCCTGATCATTCCCGTGTGTTACGTACATACTACCGCCAAGTTTCTTTTAATTTACTACTTAATGGCGATGTTTTTGCTGCTACCCTCCTTACATCGGGTATATACTCACAGCACTCAGTGTTGTGTGCGTGTGTGTGAAAAAAAAAAGAAAGTGTCTAGGATTTTTGCAAACAATGCGAATGAAAGAACTGCACTTCGATTTGGTCGCTTGTGTCTCCCTACAGTCAAATGGCTGTGAAATCCGCCTCTCTGAATTAGTCGGTCGGTCAGTCAGTCTGCTCTGTTTTTACACGTGTTTACGTCGAATAACAGTGTGTGGGTCATACCTCCTGCTAAGTTGGTGGGTATCAGCGTCCCACGTGGGTTTCTGCTCTTCGATTTCGGCTGGCTGGCAGCAGCAGAACAGTAGCACCGCCCCGCTGTTGTTATTCACTGGTGGCGTCTGCTACCGCTGTTTTCGTTTGGCTGCGCGTGAGTGACGGTAGCAATTGCTTGTTGTTGATACTCAGGCGAAGGTTGTTGTTGTTGTTTGTGGTGGTACCTGGCGCCGTAGCTGTTGTCGCTATCAGTCGGCCAGTGGCAGCACCAGTACTGTAGGCATCGCTTTTTGCTGAGTGTTTCAGTAGCGGCAGTAGAAGAAGGAAGCTTCTAGCGGCAGCCATTAATTGCTATATTCTGCCGACAGTAGTAGCTAGTAACACTGCCATAATAACAAAAGGGAATCGTAGTGTAGTTCCGGCTAGCCGGTGCCCCGGTTCGATTCAGCCGGTCACACGGTATAATTCGCTACGATTTCTATTGGACCACTTCGCCTCGAGATCTATCTTCTGTCGAGGCATATTCGCGCGTTATCGTTGCTCTAGTACGACTTGCTGAAGTGACCGGCATCGAATCCCCGATACAAACATACCCCGATTTGTCGTAAAGCGAAAAGGCGAAGGTGGCGGCAGAAACAACAACAACTGCTGCTACTGCTGCTGCTGCTGTAAAGCATTCGACCAACAGCGTGCCTGTTTTGTCGTCTGTGTGAGGGAGTCTGTGTTCGTGTGGCAGTGTGTGTGTTCGTGTGGCAGTGTGTGTGTGTGTGTGTGTGTGTGTGTGTGTGTGTGTGTGTGTGTGTGTGTATCTGTGTGTATGTGTATCTTTGGATGGTTTAGGCATGCGACAAAACCCAACGAAAATTTGCCCCAACTGTAGCGACGACTGCCATTAAGTAAGCCTTGCTGGTGGGAAGTCTAGGTCGAAGTCGGTGTCCGATTGAAATGTTCATTGACAGAACTTGCTGAGTACTGCGAATTGCAATAGTTCTACATTAGTAAATTCACTACAATCGCTTGTACTTGTGGCTCTGGCAATAACCTACTGTGTGACTGCACGATTCGTCAACAAAAAAAGTGTTTCAATTTCAAATGTTGATCTTCATTGTTCGTTTGCCGTTTATCGTGCGTCAGTCGTGCTGTGTTTAAATCATGTTGGATTGTACTGCATTGGATTGTTGTTGTCCTGGACCCACCGATTTGCGGTAATAGTGTAGTAGTAGAAGACACGACGAAACGATCAGAAGTTTTCAGACGCAGCCAGTAACGAAAGGCAGCCGTGTGTACATAGCAAAGCCACATCTCTTGAGTACAACCACTGACAGCCTATTCATCAGGCTATTGAGGTAGGCAGGTGAAAAGAACAAAAATACATAAAAATATAGAAGCGGAGTCATTTTGATTATTATATTATTGTGAAATAAAGCCAGTGTTATTGGCTTTCACTTAATACCAATGCTAATACGATGGGGATTGGATAAAAACGGGTTATTTTCGGAATCGATTTAGTTAGCTGTGTTTTTACTCCGCCAAATATCTGCGAAAGTGAGTCGACGATATGAGCGGTCGAAACATAAATGCTTTATCCAGGATAATTAATATTAATAATTTTGTCGAGTTAGTGGCACAACGATCTCAGTTGACGCAGACTCATGCATCGTATAAATCTTTAGTGAGCTACTCTACCGACTTTGTTTGATATAATTTGCGAGCGTGGTGGTACTGTGGCTTGTGATTTTGGGTTCGGTGTTACTAAGCTACGCTTCGCAGTTTATAAGTAGAAGCGCATTAGCTTAAGAATTTTGGAAAAATATTTTCGTTACCCGATTTTGCATTAAGTAGTTTGATAAGGCTCTCTCTGAAAAAAATATTGGTCCTGTATAATATCTACAGAATGTTTCAAAACTCGAGGTCAGCCATTTAACGGATGATAGATGCTCAGGAGGTGAAGCATTTTTTTTCAATAGGTCTATATAGGACCGATATTAGCTTAACTTCAGGAAAGTTGAAGTGTATCACAAACAGTAGGTTGGTTTGGTCTAGCTTTGGAGAAGTGGAAAATGTTGTTTGTACTTGCGTGTAAAGTGTACTATCTTTTTTTTTGATACTTTGTGAAGTAAGCTGATTAAAAATAATTGACAGTATATAAATATAAGCTTAAACCCTTTTATTATGGCTGAAAAACCACAAGAGTCTACATACAGGTAAGGTTCTGCTCTTTCAGTTGATGCTACTTAAATGTTGAAACAAGCGTTTATTTTAGAGAGTAATAATGTATCATGTTTTTGGACACAATCGAAGTACCTCGCAGAATTTAACAGGTAGTCAGTTTTAGCTACGTAGTTTGCTAATTGTATAAAAAAGAAAAGCGTACAAAATAGCGACCGATAATTATAACGTCTGCTTAATGAAAAGAGTGGTACATATTTTTAAATATATTGAAAAACTGGATTTTAAGGGAAAGAGCAGAATTTCCCCTGCACGTCCGTGACTTCACTTTCACTTAGTCGAGGCGGTGTTTCTCACGCAGTTGTATGCTTCGCAGTGAGACCACTCTTCAATAAATTTGAACTGCTGGACATAAAATGAGTATTTGTGCCTTAAGTATCTATTAGTAAAGGTGTTTCGTTTACTGACCAGCTATAACTCACTCAAAGATTGAGCTCGAGTTTTGAAATAAGATACTTTCGATTTAATGGATATTCTCTAAAGTTTTAAAATGTTGAATGAGGTTACCGTACAAAACGTGTCTAGTCAATTGGGATCGTTTGTATCCGCCCATCGTAACAGAGTCTGTTCAGTTACCCACATATATATTTTGTGTACTTACTATTGTGTTTACCATACAAATTGCACTTATGTTTCGAGCTCTCTTACAGGCATATGTTATATGAGCCCGCTGTACTTTTCCTTCTTATTGGTACATTTATACAGTAGCGTTTATTAAATAATTAAAGTTGTTTTTTTTTCAATTTATTATGCCTTAACTCCGTTCGGTTTGTTTGAATTTGTTGTTAGCTTCAATTAAGTTAATTAATTTAACGATATAATTAATTCACCACATTGAATGTTTTAAGATGTTATTCGACTTGATCTCTTTGGATTATACACCATATACTGATGAAACAAGATTAGTTATATTTTCTTTTCACGGCGTTGTTGGAGCGACAAAACCGCTTTTGATCGATCGATCGATCAATCGACCACTCGTCATTTTCTTCTCTCAACATCCATACCGTGCGCGTTCGATTTCGTTTGTTGTCTTTGTCCTTCCTGGTTTAGTATTCTCCGTTTTCATTGTCTGATCTACCTCATCGACGTCGTAACCTCGCCATCGGCTGCTCGGTAATCAGGTAGCAGCAGCGTGGTGTTCCTATTGATGTTATGCCAAAGGTTCAAACGTCAGCAAGCCACAGTAACAGTTCGTATGTCGCCAAATTACGTTGTCTATCTATTCCCTTCCGCCCTGTTGCATTCATTGCATTGCGTTTGTGTCTTCAACACTCACAAGCTGCTGTTGCTGCTGCTGTTTTCATCATCATCATTCAGGAGATATCCAAACCCATTAGTTCGTTGGCTTTTTCGTCCAGGTCATGATTCAACGCTACGGTCAGGCTTTTCTATTACATTTTGACCTTACACCATGTTTGGATCATTGTCACATCAGTAGCCAGGCTAGTGGTAGTCGTCGTCGTACTTATAAGTCGTCGCCCTGAAAACGACTGTTACGGCCGCCACCGCCATTGGTGGATTTCATCAAAAAAATAGAATTATACCTCAATGTCGTTCACTGCGCGTTGCTGATACCGATCATAGAGACAGAAGGACTGACACTACTAGATACGTTACCTTACGCGTGGTGCTGCTAATGGTGGTCATGTGTATTAATCATTTAAAAACGAGGTGTTTGGTGCATTTCGTAAAAGGTAGAAGCATCTATGGGAAAATTCATTTTTTAGAGTTTGTGCGCCAAATCATTAAATATCCCTATATGGTGAACCATTGACGGAAACCAGTTTCGTGCAAATGAAATATAAGAAAATTTCGCAGTCAAAACTATTGGAATCATCTTTTCTCAGTCATTTCGCAAGCATCAGACTGTTGTTTTTATGTAGTAGTTAACTATCGTATATGAATAGTTTTTTTTTAATAATGATTGCGTCTTTTTTTGATGACGCCTCTTAGTCTATAACAGTCACATTAGAAGTTAAGGTAATTAAGTCGAAACAAAAAAGAAGTTATCGATACTTTTTGGTCCTTTCTAATGAACTACCGTGAAGAGTTGATGAAAGTCCCCTGTAGAACTGACACACATCAAAGGTATATGGTGTGTAATGTAAACTTGGTCCATTATAGAAAGACACAGTATGTAATATAATTTTCAAATATAGCAATCTTATGTCGGTACTGCATCTCAGATACATCAGTTAGCGTTCTAATTAGAATTAATTAGTAGGAACTCATACTAATGGCTTTCACTATTACACTGATGTGCTTTTGTTTTAATCATGAGCTATCGATATCAGATTCATTCTACGAATGTCATTGATCTTTACACAAGAGCAATACTTTTATGGAGCTGTCGCAGATTCGTAAATTCGCTGTCGCTGTTGTTTATTGTCAAGGCTTTTAGTCAGGACGATAGCAGTTGTGCGTTGACCTTCATGACAGAAGATGTTGTTCTTGTAGCACTTCTTTGACTTTGTCACGAGTCGTAGCTGTTATCGTAATTTTTAGCAACATAAACATATGGTACTCGGCAGCTGCCGATCTATCAACGGTTGTGCGGGTAAACGAGTTTTCTGCTTCAAGCAATGCAACGTAGGCTTCCCTTCACAATAATAATAACAATAATTCTACTGTTTCTATAACTACGGCAACGTTCGTTCTTATTGTCAACGTAATCTACGACAGCAGCAAGAGTATGAAAATACCACACGATCTAAAAAAATTGGCGTGTTTTGATTTATTGTTCAATATAAGGATTAGCAGGGCAACAAATAAGCAGATTTCAATGCTATGAGGCTCAAGATTACATAGAGAAGACTAGGTATAACTCACTTATCTTGAAGGTACTAATTGAACGCACATAGTGTAGCAACAACTTTCTTTGTTGATCAAAATTGGAACATTAAACTCCAGTCGTCTGCTACTTTGGAATATCAGCCAATGTCAAGATTACATTTAGTGAGTCATACAAGGGCGTTGTATAACACCGTATAAATTGTGATGTATATA